AAAAAGAAGGCGGCGTGTGGAGGAGAATGAACATGGAGAGAGAAAGAGGGTGAGGGAGGCAAAATGCAGATGTGGGGGTGTCGCAGAGAAACCACAAGCTGCATGAACATGAAAGCATGATGTGAGCAGGCTGGAGTTGCACAAAATGCAGCAGAGAGAGACAGAGAGAGAGAGAGAAACAGAGAGAGAGAGAGGAGAGTGGGGTAGGAGTGTGAGAGAAACGTGGGCAGATGTGTAAAGAAAGACTGAAGAGCTACAGTGCAGGTAAAAAAAACAAGATGACTGTGATGAAGGAATCAAGAAGAGGCTAAACAATATACCTGCAGGTTGACAGAGTGCTGTTGGCAGCAGATTTAATACTGCACATGCATTCACACCTGTTTGCATGTCTCGTTGTGATAAAAACATGTGGTCACATCATTTTTGGCTAGTGATTCCTCATAGCCAAGCAATGCATATTCATGACCCATCATCACAGGTTGCATATATCCACTGCATGTGCATGCATCCATCTATTTTTATGCCGTTTTCAAATGTGGAAATAAAGGAAAAGAAAAGCAGAAAATTCTAGGAAAGAGTTGAACCATGGCAAAAAAAAAAAGTTTGGTGGGTTTTTTTTTTTTGGCTCAGCTGAGGTGGAAAAGTGGATGGATAAAATGTCATTATGACGTATATGATGCATGTGACTTAACTGTCAACTGTGTGCACTGATGAGCAGCCTGTGACGTCCTTCAAATCGACGCATTAAATAAAAATAAATACGATATTTTCATCACATTTTCCACACAGGTTTCCAGTGTTCGAGTTTTGACGGGAACCCTTTTATTAAGATCTTGTTGTGCCTTCTTCCTCTACAATGATTTAAAGGCAACCAAGTGGGGAATGAGCACAACCTACTGTTTATCTCTAAACCCATAACTCCTAATAGTCGCATAACAGCAGTAGATGGAGATCCGCATTGATTCGCAAATTTTTTTCTTTTTTTTTTTCTTCAGATATTCTAGAAATTCAGTTAAAATTTGGCTCTGGCTTGGCCGTTCAATCAATGACGTTCCCTCGCAGATTTGATTTTCATTTTAATAGTCTTTACTCTTTCAGAGGGAAAACTTGCTGTGTGTGCTAGTGGAGGTGCCCCACCTTTGCGGAGACCCATAAAACTACAGTATTTCATAGGAAAAAAAGCAAAGATTTGAGGACATTCGCAAAAACAACCCCATGTTTGTATTGCTGAATATTTTTCCTATTCTGTTCATGATCTTGTGAACCTACCGATTTGTCTCGTCCCCACTTGGACAGTCCTGATCTCCAGGTTGGAAACCATTGTATTTAATGTTCTGAATTGAAACTTGCATGAACTGTGTATTGAGAACAGGACAGAGCAATGCAAAGGAGCCAAAACCTTTATGGTGTTAGCTGGAATTAAGACTGATAAAAAAAATTAACACTTCCAATCAAACCAGCAAATTAATTATTGAATGACATGTTTGAATAATGTATGGCATGTTGTATTATCGCCTATTAATGTGCAGGAGATAATGCATGCCAGTTAAAATTAACTAGAGAACATGCCAGCAGACAAAATTTACTCCTGGTCATAATTACATCTGTTAAATTAAAAGTATAGAATTCTTAACCTCTAACTTTCAAACTTTACTTCGACTATACATCAAATAAAAAAAGATATGTTAATGTCAATAACTTTACAAATGCATCACAATAAAGCGAGGTGCTGAAGCCTCAGAAATAAAGCCAGTAAATTCTGTATTTAAGCCATTTAAGCCTAAACTAAGAGCCTGCATAAATAGATAAATTAAAAAGATGTCAGAATATTGATGTGAATCTGTATGAGGGGGGATATCCTCTATCTGATCTCTGTAAACCTGCCTCTTTGGTGCATCAGATGCTTAAAGCAACTACATAAGTAACAATAAACTGAAAACTTGACATCATCTAACTACTAAGTCCCTCTAAGATAACAGTCTAACAACCCCTGCATTAGTTTTTTTAGCCAGTGTCAGGACTTGAGGAAAAAGTATCCTTAACAGTAACCATGAACCTTTGCTGCGTCTCGGCACCCAGCAGAGAGAACTGTGATAATGCCTCTTAAATGCTGGCTTGCAATCTAGCAATCCTCAAAAGACTAAGAAACTCTTTTGAGGTAGGGTGAAATATTTTTTTCTTCTGATGCCTCTAACCGGCTCGTTCTTTTGAAACCAGGAGAAAAGGACCTGTGCTCAGAGACTAGCCTCGGGGGGCTGGAGCCAAAATTAAACCCTTCCCGTCTCCTTCGCTTTATCACTGTTAGGAGCAGACTGCAAGCAACCATGGAGCACACCCATCTACATTTACACACACACATTCAAACGCATACACACAGGGTTAACTGCCATGCTGGCTGGCACTGAGGGTGTGAGCCCCTCCACCCTCCTTCTTTGGGCTGGCTGCCAAAGATGCCCCCTGTCCAAAAATACACACACACACACACACACACACACACACACACACACACACACACACACACACACACACACACACACACACACACACACACACACACACACACACACACACACAAATCCCTGGCTTAGCCTCAGCCCAGTGCTGGGATTACCGGATTAGAACTCTATTCCATTATCTCCCCACACTATACAGTATACACACACACACACACACACACACACACACTGTCTTGGCCAGAGAGCAGAGGCTGAAGACAGACGCACAGTGTCAATCACAACACATGACATTTTCACACGAGAGGATACAGTTACAGTTTGGCCCCACAGTGCAGAAGAAAACCCGTCTTTACATTATTATTGGGCAGCATGGTGGAGCTGTTATTAGGACTCCATCTGCAAATGACCTGAGCCCTGAGCATCTGTGACAGCGAGCAATACACATGCTGAAGTGTCCTTGGGTACCACATTGAATCCCTATAAACTTTGAAAAATCTGTTCCATAGCTGACCTTGACCTCTGACCTTTGACCTCAGTGAGCAGGAAGACAGACAACAAAAAAACAGAAAGCAGAATTTCTCCTTCAAGCTCTCGAAGGCATTGAATAATCCCTCAAGGACGAAAACATACAAAAACACACAATGGTAAAGTAAGAACTTAGAGCCGCACAGTTCTGGAAAAAAATTAAAATTAAAAAATTAAAAAATCACATGAATCTCAAAAAAAAAAAAAAGTGAAAACATACAACACCTTCAGTCCTTAGATCCTCAGGCTCAGAATTCAGATCATTTTTTCTAATAATTTCTATAGAATCATGGAAATCAGAAATCATGGAGCTGCAAAGTGAGGAGAGATTTTGGGCGTCCCTGGTTCTGGAAGCAAAAGTACCATTCTTTTTCTCTGTTGAAATTTTTTTTTTTCAAGCAGAAATGACAAAAAATAAATGCTGTTTTCATTCTCTCAAAGTGATTCTGCTTTTCTCTGTTTTATATAATATCATAGTTGATAACGGTTCTGGACTGTTGGTTGGATAAAGCTAAAAAAGACACGAGTTTGGATATTTTTCACTGACATTTCATAGATTAAACAATTAATCAAGAACATATTTGGCAGATTAATCAATAATGACACGAATCCATACTTTCAAGGACCAACTGTGTCACAAAGTATTCAGCTCTTCGATGATAAGTTGAAGGTACAAGTCTGTGTACATATAAACTTCGAGAGGTAAGTGAACTACAACTCCCAAGGTGCATTTTCAGTCGGTAAGTAAACAATCACCGAGCTTAAAGTTCTGCTGCGTGAGCCAGTAACAGCAAGTAGAAGCTAAAGATTACTCTGCTGAGGAAACAGAAAACACCTTTATATACCAACTCCGTTTTGTTCCCAACTAGAACGACAAAGTGTTTTGAAGCCGCTACACTGACTGGCTTCTTTTCCATAGCAACAGAACTGTTGTGTTTAGGGACGTCCACCAAACTGATAAACAAAACATAATTTCCTCTTGCAGTAATTAAAACAACATAAACCTGCCTGGTTGTTGCATTAGCCAGAAGAGTCATATGATTCTGTATGAATTAAGTAACATTAAAGATATCAATGAAAGAACAACTTGAGATGGGAATACAGAATGGAGACAAACAACAGTGGCTCCTCCCACTTCACAATAAAAGCATTGCCTCTCTAATTGTCTTGCACTTGTGAGAGCCTGTCATGTATGATGATGCACTGTATCAGGCTCTGTGTGGTCAGGCAGCATCACACTGTACTTTGTGATGATGTTTCAGGTGGTTGGAGAAGTTAGATCTGTTTTTATTTCTAAACTCTGTCTTGTCATTTATTGAGGCAATTTCAGAAATTAGTCTAAAGCAGAAATGATTAGTTGATTGATCATTATTAGGGAGTTATTTTTTCAAGTAAAAATGTCAAATATACCATAGGTGCAGTTTCTAAATTGAGAGAGTTAGCTGCTTTTCTTTGTTTTATGTGATAATAAACTGATCATCTTCAGGTTTTGAGGCGTTGCTGAGACAAACTCACCTTAAGCTCTAGGAAATCATTTATCTCATTATTTATATGTTTATATATTTAATTTACATTTTATAGACCACACATTTCATTTCAAGTAATCCAGAAAATAATCTTTAATTTTACCTCTACTCCCTGCTAACACAAATATGAATTGAAATTATGATTTTAATGTGATTATTAGCACAGTTACATAGCCTCTGGTGAGCCTGTATCTCTGGTCTAGTAACATTCTTTCCAAAGTTTCATGCACGAAACTGCTAATGATTAAACTGCTTGGCCAAATGTCCTTGAGGTGTACACCATCCTCTACCTGCTCTTGTGGACGCCACTTCAAGATTCTCCTACACACTTGACCTCGCTGTAAACTATGCATAGTTTTTTTTTTTTTTTTTACATGTGTGCCTCAGGCGGGCATACAAAGAAACAAAACCTTGATTCCACACACTGTGTAAAGACAGTGGCTGTTTGTAAGAAGAAAGAAGTGGCAGCATGCAGAGCCCATCTGTCACTTACGTAGTCATGGAAGGCCTTGGCCTCACTGGAGTGCTCGCATGTCTCCCTTCGGTCTGGAGCCGCACAATACAAATCCCAGAATACGCTGAAATGGGAGGGGAGGGTGGTGGTGGGGGGGAGAGAAGAGGTCAAAGGTTACCAAACAGAGCAATACAAGCAAATGTGTAACAGCTATTCATAGCCCATTCACACTCTCTCACTATCTCCATAGCGCTCTTAAACTGCCTCTTACACACTTGAGCATCATTGTAAGAGGGACACAATGCCAGTGTCGCCCCCTCAATCAACCTCTCACTCACTCAGAATACACACACACACACACACACACACACACACACACACACACACACACACACACACACACACACACACACACACACTTTCATGGAGCTTTCATTGACTGCATCCATTTTTCACCCTAACTTAAACTTTTATTGCCTCAATACTCAGAATACCCTCCTGTACAAGTGTTGACTGGTAAATAGTCTCATTGTGAAGGAATTTGCTCATCATTTGATCCATGCAAGAATAGACAACTAGAGCTGACACACACATATACATAAACATTTTCCATACAAGTTTCTGTTTCAGTCTCTTTGGACGCGCTAAGTGGAAAAACACCAACACACACACACACACCTAACAACGCTAACTGCCTGCGTGCTACCTGTCTAAGAGGTCTTAATTCAATCAGCCTTTGTGCATTGATTTAGTGGAAGTGCTATAAACGGAGCGAAACAGGGACTCAGCTAACAAGAGGACTAATCAGACAGCCACTTCACGTGTCCTGGCAATCTGCAATGCACACAGACATGTTGAATCCCAAACATCTGGAATTTTTCATACACTTCTGTACTGCATAAGACAGTCATATTTTGGGAGGCTCGGAACAGTTCAACAGTCCAGCTCATCTCGAGCTCCAGTCGTGAGCTATTTTAGCACATCAAGTGGAATTTATGGGATATTTTGACCTCGAAACTCAACTTATACTCTCACTTAACCTTCTTCCATAAGAAGGTCAAAGTGTGTGGTTAAGCTACAGAGGAGCGCACATGATAAGTGTGTGAGTGTGTCACTCAAGGACACATCAACTGGGGGAAATGCTAAGTTACTGGTCTTAAACCTAAACCTTTCAGTCAAAAAAGGATGATTCACTCTCTCTAAAGTCCAGACTAGTTGGCGCACAGTTAAAAGATGAATGTGTGTTGAGAAGAGAACATTATCACTTGGCTATACAAGCCTATACAAGACAACATTATTATATACCTTAATTTTTTAAAAAATTTTTTTTTTACAATATTTCTCAGAGTGCAAAGAAAGAACCTCAAGGTTTATGTCCATAATCAAACAAGAACATCAAATTTATTCTTTAGATTTACAGAGGCTTGTATGCTTTCAGATTATTATTCTATTCCTTCATTTTCTTTTTATTAAAACATGTCCTTGGTCTCATATTGCTGATGGTGCTCTATAGGCCTGACGTTCATTCTTCTGACTCAGCAGAGCCACCCCCTGAGGTGAAAGTTACACTGTACTTTTGAGGACCATTTAAGGGTATATTTACAAGTCTGTAATTTTACATCCACAGGTTTTTAAAACATTTGTTCCATTGTAATATGTACAGTGCTCATTTCAGTGCAGCATCACAGTGAATCTATTCTAAAGCCAGTGCCACAGTTTTTGGAGCCGACACTATTCTCTGCTCTTCCCGACGTTTCCTTAAAGGGAACAATAAATTATCACATCTTAAACAGTTACTATTAGTATTTTCCATGATAAAGTTTTAGACAATTATTCACCTCCTGATTGATGACTTCTGAAATTTTGATTTGTGAAGACTTAAAAATGTTTAACATTTTGCTATAATGTCAGGTGCTTTAGCTCTGGTGAGTTAGATTTTATTCTTTTTTTTAATTCACTTAAAGGATAAGGATGGTATTATACTATATATTATTACTGACAACAAATCCATTGAAAAGACCATAACCAACAAATATTGGTTCTCATAACACGTATTGCAGAAAAAGTAAGAATTTTAGACATTTAAAAAAAAAAAAAAAAAAAAAAAAGGAAACCGAAATATAATACATCGACATAAGCATTCTGACCCTTTATTCAGTACTTAGTTGAAGCACCTTTGGCAGGATTACAGCCTCAAGTCTTCTTGGATATGACGCAACAAACTTTGCACACCTGGATTTGGTGATTTTCTGCCATTCTTCTCTTCAGATCCTGTAAAGCCCTGCCAGCTCACAAGGGGATCGTCAGTGGACAGTAACTTTCAGATCTATTCAGCTTTCCCTCAACCCTGACCAGTCTCCCCGTCCCAGCTGCTGAAAAACACCACCACAGTATGACGCCTCCACCACTGTGCTTCACCATTGGGATGGTAGTGGGCAGGTGATGAGCGGTGGCTGGGTTCCTCCAGACATGATGCTTAGAATTGAGGCCAAACAGATCAATTTTGGTTTCATCAGACCAGAGAATCTTGTTTCTCACAGTCTGATAGTCATTTAAGTGCTTTTCTGCAAAGTTTCACTGGGGAGAAGCTTTTGTCTGGCCACTGCCATAAAGGGATAAAGTGATGGTTGTGCCTCTAGAAGTTTCTTCCATCTCCACACAGGATCTCTGGAGCTCAGGCAGAGTGACCATCAGGTTCTTAAGTCACCTCTGTTACCAAAGCCCTTCAAGTTTGGCCGGGCAGCCAGCTCTAGGTAGAGTCCTGGTTGTTCCAAACTTCTTCTATTTAAAAATGATGGAGGCCACTGTGCTGTTGGGAAATTTCAACTTTCGTTTTTGTATCCTTTCCCAGATCTGTGCCTTGACACAATCCTGACTCTGAGCTCAGCAGACAGTTCCTTCCTCATCAGGGCTTGGTTTTTGCTCTGATATGCACTGTCAGCTGTGAGACCTTATATATAGACAGGTGTGTGCCTTTCCAAATCATGTCCAATCAGTTGAAATTACTACAGGTAGACTCCAATCAAGGTGCAGAAATATCTCAAGAGATGATCAAGGGACATGGGAGGTACCTGAGCTAAATTTAAAGTGCCATAGCAAAGGGTCTGAATACTTGATATGAAAGTGATATTTAAATTTTTCCTTTTGCAAAAATGTCTAAAACTCTGTTTTCACTTTGTTTTATCGTCTACACTCAATATCCCACAATGACAATTTCCGAAAACATAAAAGTGATAAAAGTGAAAGGGTCTGAATACTTTGTGGATGCACTGTAACCAATTCCTCTGTTCCATAGAGCTCCATTGTCGTACAAGAATTATTAAAGACACGTAAATGAGCCACACTGTTGCATTGGGTGAAATGTTTCGGGGTTTTTTCGTAATGATGAACACGGGCACTGTAATTCATTCAAATCAAGTCAAATCCCACACACATCATCCTGCTGCCACACAAATTTGCCGCTGTAAATAGTCGCCAAAAAAGACACGATCCACTTATGTATGAGTAACTTTTACTAAAAAATACAGTGCCCAACTGTTTAAGGAAATGATTTAACCTTTTTAGTAGGAATGAATGGGCTTTGAGAGCTCCAGACAAGTTAGGGAAGTCAGAGACCATCAAGAGATGGACTAACACATAGTTAGGTGTTTTCATGGGATTTGTTGACAATCAGAAAAAAAGAAAATATCACCAGCCGGAAAAAAAATTGCTGACACAAAATTAATTAGCTGAATCTGATGTTAAATGTGTCAGAAGCCTTTTCTTCTCTGCTCGGATTATCTCCTGACCTGGCTCAGACTCTTGAGAAGGGCTCGATTCAATTCTCAATACTACAGTCATATACCTGCATGAAGTGGACTTAACTCAGTTCAACCTTTATAGTAATCTGCTAAAGGTAAAGGATTTATTATCATTAGAACCAGGAGTCATTCCTCAGTGATAAAAAAAGTACATTTACATCAACTGGTTCCTCAGTAAGCAGCATCATATATCATAACTTAAAATAAGTCAGCTTGGGTTTAAAAATTATGATAAATGACGGATTACTGACCAACTCCATGTAATTGCATTGTATTACAGTAAAATGTGTTGTGTAGGTGTAAGTGCATCCCTTTCTTGATGTCTCCCAAAAACCAGACTTCTTCTTCTACTGCGCATGTAAACAAGTCCAAAAACAAGTGAAACGGTTGATCAGTGCTTAAGGTGCTGCTGACCCTAAAGGTCAAATCTTAGCCAAGGACAGAAATGACACGGGGGAGGGGGAGGAAGACAGCAGAGGGAGAGGTGACACAAAGGGAGCTGGAATGCAATGGGTTAATCTGCCAAGAATCCCTCTCCCACGTGAACAAAGGAGAAAAGTGGGAGGTGGGGGGAACACAAAGGGTGACGAGAGGGTGAGGAGGGGGAGGGGAGTGTGTGTGTGTGTGTGTGTGTGTGTGTGTGTGGGGGGGGGGGGGAAGGTCCATTCCCTAACCATCTGGATCCATTGTTTCAGGCAGGGGGGTGAAGGATGCAGAGCTGGAGGAGGGGAGAGGGTAGAAGACGGGGAGGGAGGGGTCACGCCCGCGATGAGTCTGGTCAACCCCAAGACTGAGACTCTGCCAGACCCCCCACCTATAGAAGTCATTTTTATAATCACAAATGAGGACGAGCACCATCAGTTAAATTCGTATTCGTAATATTCGTAAATATCGTATTTTTCCAGGCACCTGAATATTTGAATGTTTATGTATAACATGAGTTTCATACATTGAAAGTTGAATTATGCCTCTTTAATGAGCCACCACACCATGAAGCTCTAATGACGCTACTGTTTGTGCATATGACAGTAATGAATTATGTAGGGTGGGGAAGGACACTAGAGCCCTATCAATGAGTGTGTATGTGGTGGGAGAGGGAATCCACAGTGTCAGACATTTACTGTAACATCTGTTTACACACTGTGGTAAATAAAATGGATAGGATTATCAAAACAAATAAGGGAAAAACAGAGAAAAGTAGCAAAACTTACCACCACCACGAATGGAGGAATCCAGGGGGCTCCCCTAATGTAATATTCTTCTCCCATCGAATCTGCAGGAGGAGAGGAGAGGAGAGGAGAGGAGAGGAGAGGAGAGAAGAGAAGAGAGAAAAGTCAGTTGCAGCCACTAGAGAGAGGATTATGTCTGCAGGTCCAGGGGTTAAGAACATATAATCAGTCAGTCTCAAACTGTCAATGGCCTCGGACGTGAAGATAGGCATCTTTCTGCCTCTGCCGATTTCCATCTCCCGGTCACTCTTTGCTCTGTCCTGTTCCTCTTTTTACATGTGAAGTACATTCATGAATCCAGGGAATAACTCGCTCATTTATTGTTAGCCTGTCTGCACCCAAAAAAGGGGGAGTTTTGGAGGCTTGGAAGTGTATACAGACAACACAATACCTACATAAGTTACATCAGTTGTTTTGACACCCAGGACTCACCGTGGCCAACAGTGAGCATGATCTGGTGTAACTTTATAGAATTTCCTTATGAAATATTCATGCAACACCTTGCACTCTAATCATGTTTAGCATGTTTGCACTGACAATGTATGACTGAAAGGGCTCAAAGATAGCATAGCCTCTATAGCATGCTTATATTAAGTGCAGCTTTAGTAATGAAGAGAGCTCTTTTATATTCCATATAGGTTGTTTGTCCGTACCCTCTGATACGGCCTATAGGAGCGGTATGGTTGTGGAACAAAAACTACATGCCTAGGTTTAAGGAAAGATCATGGTTTCAGTTTAAATAAGTATTTAAAGGTTAAGAAACGTTGTCGTCATGGTTACAATAATAAACACATGGTTAAAGTTATAGAGAGATTGTGGCTATGATTAAAAGAAACAATGCTGACTGTCAGTTTGACACAGGAAACGAGCAGCAGTCTCTCGTGTTAAAGTCCAGTGTTTCAGTGACCCATCCAACCACCCTGACCTCCTCACTCTGCTGACTTTGACACTGTATACCTGTGGTGGGCGAAGGCCCTCACCTACTCGGCCCCTGACTGGACTCTACCCTGTCTCTGAATGGCTAATACTCTGTTAGGTTTAGGCATGGAGAGTGGTGATTGGTTAGGGTTAGCGTAAGAATATGAGGCTAAGTCTATCAGAGGCAGAGTAGGGGTGGCGCTGTTTAACAACTTCACTTGAACTTCCTTCTTTATTCCCCTCATAATTACCACAGCCACAAACAGTCGTTTTGGGGACTCACATTACCACTAGATGTCTCTTAACAACAAAACATATTATGGGTCATAATAAGCTGCATACACCAACGGCCTCCGGGATAATCTTTTTTTAAAGGGAGGACAGTTTCTTATTTTCATAAGTTAGTATCGAGGCCCATGTTTCAAGAGACGCATGTTTGATCAGCACAGGATAGGATTGAATTAATCAAGATTTTAACAGATTGGAGCTACAAATGCCATCTTACCTCAGACAGGAAGGTCTGTGCAGACTTCTGTGCTCCCACATGTAGCAGGTACTCGTACACATATAACGCTAACCTGAAATGTAGAGGGAAAAAAATGTTAGTGATCAAATTCAGTTTCCTTCTTTCTCAAAACTGCTTTTATGTCAGACTCTTCCTATTTGCACTAAATTCTCCCTATTTTGCATTTTAAGATTATAATTTTTGGTGGCTGCCCAACATCCTGCAAACACACCACAAGTGGGCACCCAGGAGGAGACCTACCATAGCAACTTTGGTAGCACACCCCCGAAGCCCCCTTGATTTTTACCACAGCTGGAAACCTATTAAGATTTGCTATTAATAGACCAATAATGGATTGAAAATGGCTTCATGGTTTTGCTTGAAATAACAGAGTCACTTCTTTTAAATTTACTGTTGTGTGGCTATGATGTTTGAAGGCATGCTAGTAAAGAGACATGCAGAGGTGGCAAGAGTGACTGAAAATGGTAGAAAAGGCAAGATCCCACAGGCTTCTCTGCACACAGCTGCCTAGCTAGCTTCTACCAATAGCCAGCGTGTGAGGCGTTTAGGGAACACTGGTTAATTGTAGCAACAGAAAATAACCTGGGTTACATCCTTGCCCTCTAAACTGCATGAGTCTCTGCATGCCCATCGGTCACATGCCGTGCCACCCACCACCACAAGTAAATTCTCAACCTGTGGGAAACACTATAAATGATAACAGTGGTTAAACAGTGGAGCTTTTGCTCCTCAGCCACATGCATGCCTTTTTCCAACTCTGTTCCTACACTGTGTTCAGACTTAGAAATAATAAAACTGTTGCACTGACGCTGAAAACCTATGTAGGCCCACACATAAAACTGATCAGGAATCGATAAAGAATCAGATCGACAAGCAGAATCGATAATGGCACTGGTATCAATAAAATCTTATCAATCTCTGCCCGTAGGAAAGCTTCTGGGTACCTCTAAACTTTGCTGCTTTACTGGAAAATTTCCTACAATCAAAAAGAGCCGTGTAATCTCATCAGCGCCTCTGAAGCCAGTATGGTTTTTCCAACACTGCCCCTACAAAGCCCAGGTGTCAAAAGTCTTCAAATCACAACAGAACCTAAAAAACACTCATCGGCTTGAATGACAAATATATGTTCTGACTGAATGCACAAGATACTGACAGGAATAGCTGTAGTTGATAAGGATTCCAACTAATTCCAACATTTTAAAAGCTCACGCCAGAATATTTTTTTTCCTTTTTTAAAATCACTGCTATCATAACAGGCCAGACACACTTGAAAATGGCAATCCACCAGGGTCTATTAACAGACACAAGAACCATGCTGTGGAGTGGGGAAACCCCCATTGGCCCAACATTGTACTCCTAACTCCTTCACTTAGCAGTGTTTAATAGGCTGTTAATGGACCATCAATCGACCGGCAGCGTGGATATGACAGTGTCCTGTGTGCCGAGAGCAGACAGTCCTCTGACAGGCCAATAAGGTCCTAATGAGAAGGACAGTAGCTCAGTGTCATCGTCCCCATCATTAGTCAATGTACTGATCAATGAAACATGGTTTTGAGATAATCAGGCTGTTGTGCAGTTTGTTTTTAACCACCGACTGACTTTTTGCCTTTTCAGCGCTGTCTTTTCTTGGACTGTTGTTGAATGGTAGGGGGAAGGTAATGTCTATTAAAACACATTAAGTGCCTTTAAGTTTCTTAAGATGATATAGTTGTATAATAAAAAGTTTGGATAGGAAGCTGATAAGCTCTGACTGACTCATCATGTTTTGAAGAAATAAAATAGGATAAGTTTTGATAACTGCACTCAATTTGCCAATGATGAATGTATATATCCATTTCTGCATCATCTGCTCCTAGTGACAAGGTGAAACCTTGGGGTGCATTTATGGAGAATTGTACAACAGCCTTTTGTGAAAACAGGCCACATGTGAGTGAATATGGGGAACTTCTTACAAGAGAGAACTCCAACTGGAATCTTACAAGTAATCAATTGAAAGATTAATCTGAAACCATTTTGATCTTTAATCAACCTTTTAAGTCATTTGTTTCTAAATGGGTTTCTACACTAACACTAACTTATGATTAGTGTTTTCTATGATTTTTATTGTTCTGCATATGTGTTTTATGAATGCCCATTTAGAAACAAGTGTCGCAAATTAGCTGCAGTTATGAATGTTATGATATATGGCATTAGTCTGTTTAGTTAATAGTCTATGTGTGTGTCCCTGTAAAAATAACCATAAATAAATGAGCACAACATAAATGTCTACATGGGGGACAGTAAAGCACTGCACACTTTTCTCTGAGAGTCAAGCCTAAAACGCACTTGTGTTTAGTTGCTATTTCTGCTAAGTGGTTGAAGTCAAGATGAAGATGAGGTGAGCACATGGAAGCAAGAGAAATGCCAACAACTGCTGGAGTGTGTTGTGATGGAGATGTGGTCTGTGCATGACCTGCTCTTATTACTAATGGTAATTCTAAATTAATGTTTATATGCATTGTTAGTATGCAAATTTAGTCTATAAAAGATATGAATAAGCAAATAGAGAGTAACTGTAGTATGAAGCCTATGGTCACAACATGATAACACCTTGTCCCTCACATAGAAACAACAACAAGTTATGGGACATTTTCTTTACAGCAGGAGGGGTGGTGCTTTTGAAACAGTGAAAATTCAAAACCTGAAAGCGACAAACTTTTCACCGAACTCGCTTATATTCATCTGCAAACTTTCAAGGCTGTTCACAAACATCCCACACAACATGGACAGTGAAATATCCATCCCAGGCCAAAAACTCCTGATCATTATGAGTGCTCTTCAGCTGCCCGTACACAGTATATCCTTTTTCACCACAACACTGTAGTTGAATGGGTCAATGCACAGCATTTGACCTGGCATCCCGCTGACCTCAGCTAAGCATAAGTTAGACACTACTTTGTTGAACATACTTTTGTGTTAAGTTAAAGATGGGAACTTCATTCAAAATTATTAATATTTACCCCACCCCCATAACAGAAAAAAAGTTAGCCTGCAAGAGAGAGACTGAGCATCCAGAGAAAACTGAAACTGAAACTTTTCTTGGTACTTGCATAATCTAATTCTTTGTAATTCTGTAGTTTATCTGTAACATGCATTGAACAACCGTTGCAGACACGAGTCTCTGTGTAGGATGACGAGCACAGATTAACATCTGACAAAAGGTCTTGTGCTATGAATAGGTCAGTTGCTAGATGAGCGTAGCATTTGGTATACACGCATTTGGTAAAAAGCAGGCCATCCTGCTCGGAAAGTAATAAATAGCTGAGGGTGTGCCCCTCTTGCAGATAGTCGCCAAGATAAGAAAACATACATGAGCAAGCAGACATCCAGACATGCAGATGAACAAACAAACAGAGCAGAAGTGGCCTTGAGTTCTAAGCTTCCTGGAGGGATTTACGCTGGTTAATAATATTCAACTGTAAATAAATCTATCATACTGCGCAAGAAAAACATATCCACCATCAGGAGTACATCCTGGCTGCATCCACTTGTTTAATTCAACACAGACAGTGGGACAGATTGGTCATTTCACAAATGACCGATGTTCTTAAGAGGCTGAAGACTGCAGTTCTGATAAGACGCGCACACACACACACACACACACACACACACACACACACACACACACACACACACACAATTTAGACAGGGGAATCTGACCACTTTCTGAGGCTCCCAGCAATTTGTAGGTCACAAAGCTCTCTGTGACCGCTGGTGTAGAGTGTAAGTCACTGCCACTTGCAGGTCAGTGTAGTACTGGACCACACATACACCTGCACAGCACACACACATACACATACCTGGAGCATTTCACCTATGCACTTCGCTGGTTACTAATTACATCTACAGTACAAGTCCTTGCATCTGCACAGGTTGAAATGCCAGGGAAAAGCTCACAGGAAGCTTAAGGATACAGCTAGAGCTTCAGTTGATACTGTTGCATCACCCTGAACACTGCCAGTTTACCAACTTGCTTACATATACAATCCTCTATAGGAGTTTGACTAGCAAGGAATAGTTAAAAACTTTGTCCTTTGTCTGGGGATATGAGGATCACACTGCAGATCCCCCCCCAAGAGGCCTTCAATGAAATTTTTATGTGTGGTGTGTGTGTATGTGTGTTTTTGTGTGGGTTGCAAAAGGGGCTGCGTGTGTGTGCACCTGGCCTACTGCATTATTAAAGCTCAGAAGCTAGCTCATAGAAAAGGAAGAGAAGTTTGAGGAGAAGAAGAAGAGGAGGAAGCTATAGGCTAGTGGAGTACAGAGAGAGGAGAAAAAATAGTTTTGACTGGAGCATAAGAGGGGGCATGCCCCATTTTTATAGAGGAAGAAACAGTAGGTGGTACAGAGGATCAGAGGAGCAGTCAAGTCGTGATGGAGAGGAAAAAAAGGATGGTGGGGGTTGATTTTGACAGCCAGAATGTGAAATTATAGTCAAAAGGAAAGGTAAAAAATCTGAAAGATAGCTCCAGCAGCCCTTAATTCAGAGTTTTTAAGGTTGTATGGCCTGGTGACACCAAAGTTTTACATCGCTTAGCTGGAATACACTCTACTCGTTTCAGATTTCTGCACTTTCCCATCCTTTATTATGCTTAAACTAAAATTTCTTCCACACCATGTGAGGTGACCTCCTGACCTCCTTCCCCGCCATTCCCTCTTATGTTCTGAGAGGGGACATCAGTGCGTGCATACGCTTAATCCCATAGAGTGAGAAATCTCCCTGATGTACACCAATGGCACACCTGACATCCTGCCTGAGGCTCCCGACAAAACCCCCTCTTTAAACATGGATGAGTCTGCCCACCATATCTCCCTCTCTTCTGTCTCTTTCTTTCTCCTCTATCTCTCTCAACTCTGACGCAAAGCTGAGAGCAGCTGCTTCAGTCTGTCTCAATAATTCAACACTGAAGCGAGGGATGAGGACTTTGAGGAGCAGCAAAAGGATGGGAAGCGAGAGTCAGGAGGCAGATGAAGACAAGCATTAGAAGAAGCCTAAAGAATAAAGAATATGGGTTCACAAAAGAGCCATGGTGGGGGTGAGCTTAAGGTAATGAGGTGCCTGCTGATCTTCATGCAAACACATAAGACTGTGACAATTCTGTCCCGCTTCAGTTCCCAAAATCTGCTGACTGGTCCAGCGAGTCAGAAAGTGAGCTTTTACTAGTGTTCAACCCATCCACTGTGAGGAATAAAGCCATAAGCGTACACCTATGTGGAGGATCTTACCTCTTATTTACCTCTAGGTTATTCAACTGTAATGTACCAACTACTACCATACACTATTAACACAGCACAGGGCTCTAAATCAATCAAATCTAACAAAGTTTAATGAACGCATGTACAGGTCTTAGGTGGCTTTGTTAACAGTGGCTATCAGCAAATGAAGTTCGCTGCAGATACTGGCTTCTATTTCAGAACTAGTGCTTAAAGATTTGTGAAGCATATTTCAGATTAATTTGAAAGCGCTGTAGATTGTTAAAGTGTCGGTAACCGGGCGGCATGTATCTCCTGAGCGAACAACAGGCATCGAGACAGAGGCATGCAGACAAAGGGATTGGAGGGCTACAGCTCTCGAAGCTAACACCACCTAAGTTTTCTGACAAAACAGCCATTGAAAAGCCTGCCTTTGGGTTTATTAAAGCAAGCGGTGGCAGGAGTTACAAGCAATTTATCCCCAGCAGTGGTTCTTACAACTCGGGGTGACTGAAGAAAATCTGTACGGGCCACAAAAGTTATGAGGAGCAGCTCCCCTTGCACGGGGGACCGTAGCAGTGTCTCTCCGCTGACCGAGCACACACATGGATACAATGTAGCCAGCGCGTTTGGAGACAGAGTATCATTGTGGAACGTGGAACAATTCTAGAACACGTTCCTGTGCCATTTTGTAACAAAGCCCCAAACAGCTGTATTCTATTTTTACCTGCTGCTTCAGCGGGGCGACACAAAAGCCAGCTAGCTACAATGCACAGCGTCACTCCAAACGCATTGTTCCCTCACACTGGGGCGAGGAGAGAGATGGAACTAAAGTGGGATCTCCATCAATGCTCCTCACAAGAGAAATCAGCCCTGAGTGCACATTTACGCATTATTGCTGGAAACACGTGCAGCAACACTCCCGCTTGTGGAGGTGGTGCAACTTTAGTCGTTAAAACTGCCACTCTCTGTTTTGCATGAGAAAGAAACAAGAAAAACAAGAGTGAAACTGGCAGTGGAGCTAGCCGCCTGAGCTAACTTAGCAGTCATGCCTGTGTAGTTGGGAGGATGCAAGAGGCAGCGATACACGCAAAGTGGCAAACATAACGAATAAACTATCACGGCATCACTTTTGTAGCTTGCATGTTAACAAAAAGAGCTGGCAGAACATGCGCACCTCTGCTGAAGTGTCTGAGCTGCTTCACATCAGTTAGCAAGTTTAGCTACCTAGCACACTCTTCTTGGCTGGATCTCTGTTGTGACAGTGCAATAATTTACTTACTTTTCTCTTGCTTGACTATCGGAGGGGACCACAGCTCCTTTACCCTTGCCGTACATCTTGGAGGCTGTTCTGATACTTTATTTTATCCCACTCGACACCTGTCAAAGAAAGCTACCAGGAAAACCTACTATCTCCATAGCTACCCAGTTAGTGTTGTCTCCCTATCTCTCCCTTGCGCTCTCTTTGCTCCGGTTTCCTTTTTTTCTACATCCCCAACATTGCCCACAAATCAGGCAGGGTTTCAGCCGGGGGGAACTTGAAACAGTCCACTGGTGGAGCTTTTTTTTTTTTCAATCGCTGTTCCTGGATTCAGCTCACGCCCCCCCTGTTGTGAGACGGTGGGGGCTTCTTAAAGGCACAGTGTCTCAGTTTTTGTCGACTTCGCTCAAGTTCAAGTTCTCTTCTGAAGGCCTTCAAGTTCAGATCTTACATTACAGTTGTGTTCATATAAACTGCTGAATTGCTAATACTAACTGCTATTACTGTTCTGACATCTTTATTCAACCACAATATGTATAGCTGTATCCTAATGGTACGTTTCAATGTTTTGTTTTTGACCTAATGTCATACCAGAAGGGCACTTGATTGGTCCAAATTCTCACCCCCAGTTGGTTTATGTGCCCCTTAAGTGCCACTATGTTCAGCCCAAGTACCTATATCTAGTGTGGCCTTAGGGCAACCATGAACCTTGACCAGAAGTGCCTCATTATTTTTCACCCCGATCCTCAAACAGTCCGTGCAGACCACTGATTAAGGTTATTAACTTACCTGATTACATAACTGTAAATAGGGGGGGGACCAAACTGGGGTCCAGGGACCACCAAGGGTCCCAACAGAGGTGGAGGCCGTACATAACTAATTGAGGAAAAGTTTTAATTGTGTTTTATTTAGGACTGATAGTTTAATTTTGTTCTGTTATTGAATGTAGAGGAAGGAGATGATGTCTTAGGACCTATAGCAGACACCGACAGATAAAAGTGAACAGTATGGACAAAAGGTTGACTTTGTTTGTCCATTTCGTTCACCTCTTTTTCATTCTTATTGATTTGTAATCATTTTATTCAGTTTCATTCATTTGTATACCACGTTAAGAGTTTAGTATATCCATATGCATTTGATCCAAACTGTAAACATACAAAATGACCACAACTAATGTACAGAATGATTGGTGTGGAAAAAATCACACGCAAACTGTTGCCATTTATTTACAGTTTCTTGTAATAAAATCTAAAGATTTCATAAGCATATTCACAACCACATTGTAGATTCCTGTTTTGTTACTTCAGCATTAAAAACAGTAACGTAAAAACTAATACAATGATTTAATTCTCATGGTATCTGGTTTACTCTTTAAATAGTTTGCTAGCATAATGTTGATAGTCAAACAACAATTCAATCACAATTATAATAGTAACAGCATCTCCACATATATTTATTTAGTATCCAGGTATGGAGCTGGCACTTGGTAGCGATGTATAAGTCTGTGTCATGTCCCTTTAAGAGTGTGTAGAGGGCAGTTGCAGAGTTTGTGTGTGCATATGTGTGTGTATATGTGTGTAAGGCAGGGACAGGCAGTGTGTTCTCTTTTCGTGCTACTTGCTGTGGGAAGGGCACAGCTGACTGTCTGTGTGCGTGTGTGTTTGTGCGCACACCGGTGTATGTATGTGTGGAGACAAGCGCATGTATTTGTGTGTACGTGAGAGAGAGAAAGAGAAGGGAAGATAGAGAAAATACATTTCTGTATATATATGGCCAGGCTTTTTTTTTTACATGAGAATACAAAAACCTCATGATGAGCAGACATCGTATGGATTAATAGAGGAATAATATAGAGGAAGAAAAGAGAGAAAGAACAGAAGTGAGGAGCATTTCCTTTATAAAAGGCAAGAATTTTCCCTGGTGAACTAGTGTATGTTACATATAGCAACGCACATGTACTGACAGATGCAGTAGACAAAGAATAACATGATTTTACAAGTGACATACTAAAAATTGACAATGTCATTACAATATATATATTGTATATATATATAGTATAAATTGCATGGTAGACACATAAAAACACAGAGCAAGAGTGAAAAAATACCTCAGATTTCTTTGTTTCATTTATGTGGAATTACTTACACATAGAGAGAGAATAATTGCCAGCAATTGGTCTGGCTGTGCATAGCCATTTTTTTCTTTAATCTTAATCTTTTAATATTTGCATGTATTTCAGACTACATCCACACTAAACCTGTTCAATTTGAAAATGCTGTTTGACAGTAGGCTACATGTGAAAACAACATTCGTCCACACCGGCATTTTCAGGTTTTAGTAACGCTCTCCATCCACACTGAAAAACCAAATCCATTAAATTAAAGTGGATTAATGTCTTCTTCTTTGTCTGAATAAAATCAGCAGGTGTAGCTATACTGTGTTATAATACAATCAAACTCACAATTTAGCTCTCATTGTGACATTTCTTTTTAGCATAAAGTAGTCATTTGAGCATCGATCATAAACATGACCTGTTCATCAGGTATTTCATGATCGCAAAGCTGTCTGAGAAAATATGAACATTTAGTGATTACAAAGAGGTTTAGAACAGGCTTGTCTTATCATTTTCCAAAAGTTTTGTTTTCCCCTATCCACACTAAAATGTGAGGCTGGATACCACTTTCAAAAAAACAGACACCAGCACAGTGTGAACAGAAGACTGAAACAGTGAGAACAAGATGCATTTTTGAATTTAAATTTAGCAGGCGTAGTGTGAGAGAGAATGAGAACGAGAGAAAGTGATGGTGTAGGTATCTTTTAAGCTCTATAGACCACAAACTCTATCACTGTCTCATCATAGCACCAGTATTGATCCAAGAACCCAATGATCCCCGGGAACACTGGATCTTCTTCCTTTGCACAGAATAAACACAAGCAGTGTCATTGTGTGTTTCCTCTATTTCACCAAATGCAGATGAGCAGATAAGACTGTTAGTGTTTTGTCCACATTCTTAATTCCTGTCCATCCATCTTTCTGTCAACAGCACCGCCCCCCAATGGCATTTTCGTAGATGTACTTACTTGGCATATTCAAATGATAATTTAGCACTTTGTACCATCCATAATACAACAATTCTCTATCATATCATCATTTCATTTTTTCCCCCATAATTGTGAAAACATATGGAGATGATTTGGAACCAGCTTGATCTTACGTTAACGATGTCAGTAATATATTACATAAAACTGACGATGATAGATCCAATCACATCTCTACTCAGATCTCACGAGACAGCCTCTGTCATCTCTCACAACCTCTTGTGAACCCAAACTGTGTTTCACAAGTGTTTGGTATGATGTAAGTGTCAAATATTTTTCTCCTTTTTTTTTTTTCTTTTTTTTTACTATGCTTGTGACCAAGTGTATCGCTGTAAACTCAGTTCTGTTGTTGAATTTGAATGTTAGTTTGCCCTGAAATACAACAACTCTGGAGTCTTATTTGGTTTTCGGCACCTGGCAATGCTGCCCTACAAACTTCCATTATCATCCCTCTCTCCATCCCATCCTATCTCCATCCCTCTCTCGCTTCTCCCACTGGTATCATTCTCTCCATCTTGCCTCATCACTCTCTTCTTCCTTCTCTTCCACATCATCGTCCTCTCCTCTGACCCACTTTCCTGCCTTCTTGCCACTATCTCCCTCTGTTCTTGTTCGTGCACCCACATCCTTCATCTCTATCTCTCTCTGTCTCTTTCTCCTCCCCCCTTCCCCTTCTCCCTCCATTTCAGTCTTTCCTCTTCATATCTCCTGCTTGTGTTCATGCTTCTCCACCCTCACGCGTCCTCCTTCTGTTCCGTCTTCTTTCTGCTTCTTCTCTGCACCTCTCTCCTCCATTTCTACCTCTCCCTTCCACCTCCTCCAGCACCTCCGCTCTTCCTCTACTTTTCTCCCTGGTGCATCTCCATCCCTCCATTCTTACACAGCCTCACTGAATATTCTCACTCTCACTTATTCTCTCCCATCTTCCATTCTCATTCTCTATCACTCTTACTCTTTTCTCTCTCATCCTCTACCTTCTCCCTCTCCCCTGCGCCCCTCTCCCTTGTCTTTCCCTCCTCATCCTCCTCTCCTCCTCCTCCTCTCCTCCTCCTCCCCCCTTCTCCTTCTTTCTCCTTCCACCATGAGTCATTTTGTGCTCTCTGTGCTCCCCTCACTACGCCACAGAGCCACTCAGGACAGACATTCATCAGCGGCCTGAGATGATAGATGCTGCTCACCACAGCTCCAGCAGCCAGTTAGCCTGGGGTGATGCCTTATGCATACAGATATCACCTGGCTAGCTGTAGTCTATAGCGCCTCAACCAGGATCGAATACACAAAAATGCTCTCAAGTTTGCACACACACGCACAGCACTGCCTGGTGTCTAGGACTGGCTTTGTGTGGAAAGACAAAGTTTGGCACATGTACAAATTTATTGATAAGTATACTTGCACTTTAATAAAGTGTATAAAAGTGTGCAGGCAATAGTGTTAGAATGGATTGTGTGTGTGTGTGTGTGTGTGTGTGTGTGTGTGTGTGTGTGTGTGTGTGTGTGTGTGTGTACATATGTGTGTGTGTGTGCACTGGAGATTGTTAGGTATGTAAATTCCAGGGGAGTTAGGTTAATTGGGTCTGAAAAAGAGGTGGGTGTGTCTTTCTCCTCTATGACAAGCTTATTTACATAGCAAAGCTGTAATTACCCTAACGAAGCCCCTATCCTATCAGTGAGAGTGCACACACACACACACATATATAGACACAGACACACATGTGCAATCCCCAAACAGGTTTGAGCTCAATCATGCCAAACCTGTATTTTTCATCACTCCAGATCCCTCTCAGAAGCATTCCATTCACATGTTCGTTTCTAATTGAATGGCATCCTTTGCAGTGCCAATCAGTTGGTTTGTTGGAATTTCTGTATCAGAGCTCATTGGCTTCTTAGAGAGACGTGGGACCCATTCCAGCACTTAGCAATCACTTCCTTCCTTCTAACCCCCCTAAGTATTCTTTTGTAAAAACAGGCTTTCCCTTTGT